CAATAAACTAAAAAAGTGTGTAAGATGTTCAGAATATCGCAAGCCTTTCATACTAATACCTGCACCTTCTTTTTTTTTAATTTGTAACATTAAAGCAGTTAATTCTGTAAATGTCTTTTCACCACTAAAAGTACCATTCATTCCCATTTGAGCTAAAGAGGCCCACATTGCTGAATCATCATTATTGGTAATTATGCAAGTCCAAAGATTTTGAAGATTTCCATTTTTCAAAAGTTGAACTAAAGAATTATTAAAATAAAATTTTGATATATATTGGATTGTTGATGGTATTGCACGTTTCTTATATTGAAAAAAAAACTTTAATTTAGTAATATTTTAAGCAATAAAGAATTAAGCTTAATTAACTTACAATTTTTAATGCCTCTTTTAATCTATTATTATTTTGTAAATTATCGCATTCATTGCATAAATCTGATAATTTTGTTGTCATAATTGCACAATTTATACTTCGTATTACCCTTCAAAATGATCTATTTTTCAGGTAGCTGTTGCTTGTAATGCAGTATTGAATTGTTGAGTTTGATCTTTATTAAGTTTTTTACGAGAAAAAGGAGTATCTTGTGAAAACTTATCAGGAAAAATTGTTTTTCCAATCACTTCAGGTTTTTTTCCTCCACCAAAAAAGGCTGAAGAATTAGTAGCATATTCCGTATACAAATCACCAAATAAACCAGTACAAGGTAAAAGCTCAAGAAACTCCTCTTCGCGCTCTCCTTGTGCATTCTTGCTTTGATCAAAAAAAAGATATAAACTAGGTTGATTATCAACACCAAGAATACAGTTGTGGCTATTAATATGTCTTTCAAAATTTGTTATTTTAAAAGGACGGTCAAGTTGAACTTCAACTCCACATTTACATTGGACAGTTTTACTATCTATCATTTTATCAAAATTTGTAAAAGATCTAAAATGAGAGATACAAGTATCAGAATTTGTATTTTGAGTATGAGATGGGTGAACTGGTGCCATTGTAAAGTAAAAAAAAGCTGAATAACAGCTAGGTAAAGTAAATTTAAAAAAGAACAAAATTTATTGAACAAATTTTACTTTTACGTGTGAAATTAACTAAATGTAGATTGTTCATAATTTGTTCCATTTTAATAAAATTCTTGAAATTTAAAGAATTTCGTTGAAAAATTTCTTCCTGTCAAAAAAGCATCTATATATAT